GAATGAAAATGGTCAAATCTCAGCAGCTGCATAGGATTCAACCTAGTAATTCAACTGCAGTCATTATCACCGTCTCTTCTTGTAGCTGCTGCTTAAATATTGAGTTTACAAACTTAGCTACAATTTATTAATATCCACTGAGTGCCATGTACTTCATACGTTGCAACTCTGCAAGGAAGTCATGATGCCTGTTTTGCCAGAGAAGATTACATGGGCTGGGGCAGGGGTCCAACTCAGAACCCTTTGGTTCAAGCATGGAACCTTCTTTATGCTACTGTAGCCCACTCACTGCCTTTGTTGCCTCAAGTTTTCTCCTTGATTCCCTTCCTTTATATTTCTGGCAGAAGTAAATGAGTCATTGGCTGGACAGATGAAAGGGATTTTGATGGACCACCAAACCACTTCACTTGAGGGTTTACAGGTTACAGAGTGTAGGCAGATTATCTTTACAAGTGTTGTCTGGTACTTAATTACCCTCTGTAATTAAGTTATCCACAGCAGGCCCCTTTTGTCTTAGCCAACTTATATTTCTTTAAGTTCTGGAGGAGAAAGGTGCTCTAATATTTGGGCCAAAACATTAGGAGGACCCATCTTCACTGTATTTCCACTTTGGCCTGGTCTTCTTTCTAGGCTGTGAGGCAGACCTGAATGTTTTTCTTAAAACCTCTTGGAGCTTTTGTTTTTTCTTATGCTCTGCCCTCCCTCCCCAGCTTTTTTTCCTTCATTCTCTAGAAGTCTAACATGTTTGATTCCTACTCTCTCTAGACATACACCTGGAGAGAATAATGTTTCCTTCACAGAATTCCTCCTTAGGATTTCTTGGGAAATATATGTGTTTTTCCAGATCTCTAGAAAAATCACTTATGAGGTAAATGGGAAAAGTGTTATAATTCTCCTGTGAGAATTGTATGAGTCAATGCAAAGACAGCAGAAAGAATCCAGTGAGGTCAAGTTGAAAGCAAGAACAGGAAAAGCTGACTTGGAGAGTTGAAGGGTAAGATCCACCTTTTTCAGACCCAGCACAGGATAGGAGCATGTGGGAGAGAATGGGTCATGATTTCTTCTCGCGGTTGCCATGTTAAAAATGTGTCTTTGTGGCCCAGTCTGCTACTACCATTAATGTGTCATCCTTGCAAGTAAAATAAGCTTATATGCATAGCATACTGTATATATATATCCTATGCTTGGTATTACAAGAAATAAGTTTTAGAAGTAAACTGAGTCTCTAAATTGGCAACTTCAACATATGATTCTGTGTAGTATTGTTAATTTGCTTGTAGATCCAAATGTAGGTTATTGTAGTGGTCAACAAAGTCTCTTTCTAAAGGGCCAGATAGTAAATATTTTAGGTTTTGCAAGCAATACGGACTCTGTTATAACTATCAGTTCTACCATTTCAGTGTGAAAGCCGCCATAGACTATACATAAAATGAACAAGTAAGCTGTTCCAATAAAACTTTTATTTACAAAACCAGACTGTGTGCTGGATTTTGCTTGCTACTGGCATAACATCCAATAATGTTCACTGGCATTTTCCAGGATCTTAGTATTTGCTATAGGCTACAATGTATTGTAACTACTACTAAGTGTGGTATTTCCTATTTAACAATGTTTTTAGATATCCATAATAATGAGTAAACAATGGAAGTATTTTAAGAACAATATATTCTGGAGAAATCCCTGGAAATTCCCATTTCTCATGGTCATTCACATTTTTTTAAATGTATAACTTGGGAATAGAATAACCTCAATTTTGTTGTTAGGATTATGTCAGACAATGCAAGTAATGTGGTTAGCACAGTTTTAGAACTAAAAGCTCACTAAATGATAGCTGCTATAATTAGTAATTCTCAAAGATGAAGAGTATTTATCCCATTTCATGGAAAAGGAAACTGATGAAACTCAGAGTTTAAATGAGTTGTGGAGGTCACATTTAATAGGCTGGAAAACTGAGTTGGACTGCTTAAGTCCATGTTCTTGCCACCATATCCTGCTTTCTGAAGTAGTTCTGGTTAAGGGCAATTCCACAGCAAGATACACCATAGTTTATTTGGTTTATGGGCTGGGTGAACAGACAGGGAGAGTATGGAATGGTTCTTGAAAGGGCAAGGACTTGCAACGTTTAGAAGCCACAATTTCTAGAAGCAAATGATATGGTTATAACTAAAGAGCTGAGAAAACTTGCCTTGACATTTTTTTTTTTTTTTCTTCCTGTGTGGACTGCCAAGAGCTTGTTTGATTTTAAGTGCTTTTTATGCTTGCCTGTTACTCAGGTCTCATCATATTGCAACAACTTTTAAGAAACTATGCCTGTTCTTTTAAACTGGATTACAGAAAACTGTACTGTAATGTTAAATGCTTAAAATTACAGTCAGAAAATTTGATTGCATTTTTCTTCCCCTTCATAGTCATCCTCCAGCCCCCTGCACGGGAATGTGCCTTTGACCCTTATGAGTCAGACTTTTACACAGTTTGATTAGCTGCCAAGAATTGAAACGCCATCGCCAGATAAGTTGGCTAAATTTTTGGGAAAAAACTCAGCTCAATGAACAGTTTTTGAAAAGCTGCTAGAGTTTATTATATAGATATTTATTTTATAACACTGATTTTTTTTTTTTTTTTGATGAAGAGTCTCCCTCTGTTGCGCCGGCTACAGTGCAGTGGTGCTGATCTTGGCTCACTGCAACCTCCACCTTCCAGGTTCAAGTGATTTTCGTGCCCCAGACTCCTGAGAAATTGGGGTTACATGTGCCTGCCACCACAGCCAGCGCATTTTTTATTTTTAGTAGAGACGGGGTTTCACCATGTCAGCCAGGCTAGTCTTGAACTCCTGACCTTAGCTGATCTGCCCACCTCAGCCTCCCAAAGTGTTGGGATTACAAGCGTGAGCCACTGCACCTGAACAATAGCACTGAATTTAATTAGTGCGTATATCTTTTTAGGGAGATTGTTTTTATATTTGCAGTCTCTCTTGGGGTTTTGAAGACAACAGTTTTTTGCTGCCTTTTAGGTCTGCCGAACTTGCCTATTGATATGAAGGGTATTTGTGGGAAGACAGGTGCCAAGTAGAACATTTGAAGCATTAAGTATCTAGCTAAACATGTTATTTCCCATTTTACCAACCTGGTCTTTCTTGTAATACACCACAGTTTTGATTTTAGTCCATGGTTTAGTTGAGAGTCCAGTGAATTTTAAAACAAATGTTAAATTATATTTAACTTGGAGATTTAATTTTTAATCCAGTTAACTCTTGTGCACCAAGGGTATGCTAAGTATCGTGAAAGAGAGCTAAAAACTGTAGAATAGTATGTGATTTTTACCTAGTTTTAAATTGGTTTTGACAAACCCTGTGCATGGCCGAGAATTAAGTGCCAGGTTGAGTCATATAGCATATAAATACCAGAGGAAATCGAAAGATCTGGGAAATATAAGAATCTTTAGAGAAGATGGACAGAGGCAGGAGAACCCAAACACTGTCTTAAAGGATGAGAAGGAATTTTGTGCAGTGTAAGATGACAGGGCTGGGATATTGGATGGCAAGTTAGAAGCACCTTCATAATGGGAAAAGAAAAGTCTCTGATTTTCAAAAAGAGAATCAGAAATATATTGTACCAGTGTTTATTTTTTGGCTTATCTGAACCTCTTCCTTCCCACCAATACAGTAACTCTCACTTATAAAGACATGGTTGACCATAGGCAGCACAGCTGAACACTGGCCTCCTCTTAAAATGCAGTTAGTTTTTGACAGAGGGGAGAGCAGCTTTAGTGTGAATCTGCCAAATTTCCCTGGCCCCAGCATCTTGGAAAATACCAGTATTTCAACCGTTTGTTCTGAAACTCAAAGGTTTGTGGGTGCCGCTCAGCTGATGAGTTTGTTTTTAAGGATGCCCACTTTAGAAATGCATTTTTGCTCTTTAACTTTGCTAAGTGATTGCTGAAAAAGACAAATTTCTGGTTAACCTGTCTATGGAGGATAGTTGTACATGTCTTATTCTTACTGTACCTATTATATGTTTAGATTTTCTTTTCTAATAGATTGTAAACCTCAATTTAAGCTGAAGTGAGGAACGGTTTGATAGTATCTGTAAAACTTTTCCCTTGAATTCCAAGGTGGATGGAAAGATTTTTCCCCATAATTATTGCAGAACGCAATAATTTGGGGTTTATTTTCTGCTTAGATTTATTTACGTGAAGGTTTTCTTGACAAAATGTCCTCTGAGGTTAAAAAAACGTGCTGTTTTCTGAAGGTAGTAAGTTCTTTAGTATTTTGTGTTACTTAACGATTTGAATGGGAAAGTTAGGTTCTAATAAAAATTTCCTCTTCCTTTCGCAAATGTTGATGTTTTTCAAGTCTTCCTAAAGGAAAAGGGAGCCTGGGTGGGTTTTTGTTTTATATTAGTTATCTAGAGCTCCCCTCCTCTTCCCTTCCACTTTGTGCTCTTTCCCCACCATTGTTTTATGAGCCTTTGAACCAGATCTGTCTATGCCAGAGATTGTTGCTGGAAAATAGACCAAAATCAGATCAAGTGGATGTGCAAGCAATTGGTTACTCTGGTATACTGGATGCCTCTAAGAGGGGCCAGGGATCTTGGAAAGGGAGGAAAACTTTTCATTCTATAGTTTGTACTGCTCAGACTTTTTTTAAAAAAAACTAAATGCACCTAATAGTACATGCAGAGTCAAACTTTTATTTGACTTTGTGTGTGGCAAGGGAAAGAGAAGAAAGGTCGGAACTTGATTTTGAAAAGGGCCGACTGCAAATCTTAATGGTTTTTGTGTTATTTAGAAAAAATATTTAAAGACCGTTATAGATCCCTGACCTCTGCACTCTTCTTATCAGTGTTTTCAAACTTTTCTGTACTTGCTGCACTTGTAGATAGGCTTTGTTTTGTGGTCCTAATTGAAAGGCGTGCCAAATGTGCACTTCCTTCAGCCACCGCATTCACAACTGGAGATTTTTCTTCTGCTTAGCTGATTTTCTTTCTTCTTTCCCCCTGCAGCCTGGGGCGTTGTTAAGCGTCGCATTGCCAAAGTGAGAACCGCTGGAGAACTCATAATCCCAGCAGCGCCTCTTCTACTCCCCGGGTACCCCAGTGACCAGAGTGAGAGAAGCTCTGAAGGAGGGCACGTGGCTTGAAAGACGGTGGGCAGATGTGACCAGGAGCCTGCGTTAAGGTAGCTGAGTCAGCTTTACCCAGGAGCTCTCAGAGCGGCGTTGCCAGAACCAGCAGTGCAACCACATCAACAAATCACTTCTTTTAATACTCTTTGGCAGAGATCAAATCTACAGGGTAAATTCTTTGCCACAAATGATTATTTGTTTATTTTTTTAAATATGAATTCAGTATAAGAAAGCTAGGACTGGCCTCATAGTTCTTAGTTTCAGCATTGCTTTCATAGTAGGCTTTGTTGGGTGGATCTGCACAGCTATTCTTTAAATTTGGCCAAGTTTTTCATGTAAATACTGCCAATGTTTCCCTACCTGTAAAATGCCTCTGCCATCCTTTTCACCTTACAGGGCCACTACATTAATTTTTTCTTTTAAAATAGACCTTGTTTCTTTTAGAGCAGTTTTAGGTTCACAGCAAAATTGAGCAGAAAGTAGAGAGAGTTCTCATCTATCTCCCCAACACCTCCCCTCCTGTCAATATCCCACACCAGAGTAGTACATTTACCACAATCAATGAGCTACATTGACACATCATTATCACCCAAAGGCAATAGTTTACATTAGGCTCAATCTTGGTGTTGTACATTCTGTGGGTTTGGACAAATGAATAATGACATGCATCTGCCATTATAGTATTCTACAGAGTAGTTTCAGCGCCCTAAATATCTCTGTGCTCTACCTATTCATTTCCTGTTTCCACTAGCCCTTGGCAATCACACTGGGCTTTTTACTGTGTCCATACATTTACCTTTTCCAGAACTACATTTTAATAATATATTTCCTGTGAAGTGCTTTAAAAGCATAAAGAAGCCTTGAGCCAGGCATGGTGGCTCATGCCTGTAATCCCAGTGCTTTGGGAGGCCAATGTCGAAGGATTGCTTGAGCCCAGAAGTTTGAGACCAGCCTGGAAAACATAGTGAGACCCCATCTCTAAAAAAAAAAAAAAAAAAAATTAGCCAGGCGTGTTGGCGGGTGCCTGTATCTTCAGCTACTTGTGAGGCTGAGGCACATGGATTACTTGAACCTGGGAAGTTGAGGCTTCAGTGAGCTGCGATCGCACCACTGCAGCCCAGACTGGGCAACAGAACAACACCTTGTCTCAAAAAAAAAAAAAAAAATTCTTGCTTTCCAGGATGAAATGCTATTAAGGGTGCAATAAGTTATGGGAGTAACAGGAATACCTACTTGGAATAGGGTCAGTAAGATGTTTCTGTGAAGCAGGCCTGAAGTGCAAAATGTTGATGTTTGTGTCTTTCTGAATTTAGTGTTTAGGTTGCTTGATAGTGGTTTGAACCATGTATATGGAGACAGAAGCAAGGAACTCAGGATTAAATTCTGCCAGGATTGGTCTATGCAGCCTTCTTAGATTTAATACTTTTGAGGAAAGTCTCTGATATAGTTGTTAGGTGCATTCTTTTCAAACAAAAGTCTAATGTATTATTATAAAACAGTCTTCTTCTTCTTATTGTTATTATTACTATTTTGAGGCAGGGCTGTTGCCTAGGCTGGAGAGCTGTGATGCAATGATAGCACACTGCAGCCTCAAACTCATGGACTCAAGGGATCCTCTTGCCTCAGCCTCCCAAGTACTTAGGACTATAGATGCTCATCACCACACCTGGTGGTGGTGGTTATTTTTTTTAGAGACAGGGTCTCACTATGTTGCCCAGGTTGGTGTTGAACTCCTGGCCTCAAGTGGTCCTCCTGCCTTAGCCCCCCTATAGCCTTATATTTTATGTGAAAGTTAATTTTGATTATTTCATGTTAGATAATACAAAACAGTATAAAGCATAGCCATATATAAAGATAAAAGTTATTCCTTTCTCTCTTTCACCTTTGGCTAAAATCTTGGAATACAAACTTTCCTGTTTACAAACCTTTTTATATGCAGATACTTTTATATACAAACAAAATATACATATTAATCATGTTAGAAATTGGTGGAACATGACCACACATCCTATTTCACAGCTTGCTTTTTGGCTTGACTTGGTATATTACAGATATTTTTCCTTTTACGCGGAATTTAATGTCAGGGTGAGTAATCCCTGCATCGTCTCCCTTATATGGCTGTAATGTAATAATCACCAGTCCTCAAGTGAGAGGTTAGTCCATAATTTAAAGGGGGTAGGCGGGAGATCTTTCACATTAGGGACAAAACCAAGGCCATGACTATTGACATTGGACTTTTGGTCACTAAGGATGTTTTTATTTTCCAAGGCAGACGATACACTGCTTGGGGCTGTTGCCAAGGCGTCAGTTGTGTCAAATTTTTATTTTTTGGAGGCTGTGTTAATGTATTAGCATAGTTGTTAGTTCTGGCTACCATCCTTTGAGAATTTTGAGATACCTTTTATGCCCGTTTAAGGTGGTGTGAGGTTGAATTCGTTTGAAGAGGAAGTAATGAATAACAGAGATGGAATTAAGAGACAGACTTTATTTTATGTATATATTTATTTGAGGGAGAAGGAGATGATGGCTGTAGTTAATCCTTACCCCTGTGATTCTTAATTATGAGACAGGGTTAAAATTGTTCAGCTCGGTAGTTTCCTAATGTGGTTAATGGTAAGAGTCACTAGAGAAGTTTTCAGGTATCTGGTGTTGGCAATGAATATTTGTATTTTTGTTATTTTTTAAAGCATTTGCTTTTAGAAAGGTAGTATTATCAGTGCATACAAGATTAAAAAGGCATAAAAGAGTGTAGAGGGAAAATTAAGTCTCCCTCCTCAGTCTCCCAAGTACCCAGTGACCCTTCTAGAAACAACTACTGTTACCATTTTCTTGTGTATTCTTCCAGATAGTTCAGATATATATAATATACAGGCATATAACCTATGTTACAATTTTTCTTTTTTTTTTTTTTTACACACATGGTAGCAGTATCCACAGTTTTGTACCTTTTTTCATTGAAATAATATTTCTTGGAAGTTCTTACATAGTAGCACTGCATTCATTTTTAGTAGATACTTGGTATTCCATTGTGGAGGTGCGCTATCATGTATTTAACGATATTGATGGGCATATAGATCATTTCCAGTTTTTATTATCATGAACAGACCTATAGGGAATAACCTTGTATATAGAGTATCATTTCAAACTTGTGTTAGTGTATCTATAGGATCCATTTCTAGTAGAATTTCTAGGTCAAAGGTTACACACATTTTAATTTTGGTAGAAATTTATTGCCAAATTGGTCTGTTTGTAGACCTTGACAAATTTTAGATTTAACAGCAGTGAGTGAGAACACTGATTTCTCCTGCCCTTGCCTGTCAAATATGACTGCCAAACTGATTATTTTATTTCTTGGCCAAAGCAATAGGTAAAAAATGGCAGTTTAATGTGTTTTCATTTGCATTTTTCATAGTTTGATTGAGATTGAGCATTTTTTTTTGTTTAAAAGCCACTTTTATTTCTAGTTATTTTCTTTCTGTATTTGTGTTCTTTGTCTATTTTGCTACTGGGTTATGATTTTTATATCAAAAATACCACATCAAAATTATCGGTTCCCCCTTTTTTATCCTTGTGATATGTGCTATTTATATTTTCCTCAGTTGGCCATTTGTATAGAAATAATCATTATTTTGTTGTGCAGGTTATTAAAAATGCGTAGTTAAAATTGCCAATCTATTCACTCAACCATTATTTATTGAATGCCTCTTGTGTATGAGAACTTGTTCTAGAGACCAGGCTGTAAAATAGTTTAAAGAAAAAAAAAAAACAGACCCAATTCTTGCTCCACGGCAGAACTTACATTCTTACTTACATTGGAGGAAATGGTCAATATCATAGTATCATACTTAAAAGACCTTTTTCCATTTTTAGATTTAAAAACTTACTATCTCCTGGTTCATTCTAGTGTCATGTGGGCTTTTTTAAGATTTAAGTCTTTGATCCATCTGAAATTTTAGGTATCAATTCAACTTAATTTTTCTCTAGATGCTCTATTAATTAGGGTTAGGTTGAATTGCTGTAAGCAAAGGACTGAAATATGCTATGGTTCAAAGAACACAAAGTTTCTTGCAGGCCTAGAAACAGTATATTATATAGTATTACACTATAGTAATTGCCTCCTTGCCTTTCTTTATGAGTCCATCAACCAAGTGTTCAGACCTACAGATTGGTCTTGCATTACCTCTGTCTTGTAAGTCTCTTAAAACTGGGGCTTCCCCCTCCAGCCCATTCTTTCCCTTATAGTTTCTCTGTTGAAGAACCTGTGTTTTTTTCTTCACTTAACAGTCCCAGTGTAAGCAAAACAGGTCAGCGGAACAGCCCGTATCCACTGATCATTCAGAGGCTGAGTTCCTTCTCTCTCGTGGCTCTAGTAATTGTTGCTGTGATTATCTGCATGGCCATATCTGAGTTGCTGCCATAGCTGGGTCCCCACCATGGGAAGGGCAAAGGAGAAAGTCCAGGGCTGGTGATCAGAAACTACAGACATCACTACAGATGAGAACTATAGTGATGAGAACTTCATTATAGGGGTATGTCTAGCTGCACTGGAGACTGAAAAGTGAAGTCTGTGTGGGCTGCCTTGCACCCAAGAAGAAGAAAAGAAGGAATTTTAGTGGAAAAGGAGCAGTCTCTACCACATTGGCTAGTCATTCCAATTTTACTGAACAGTCCCAACTTTTCTCTTTTGGTGTCTTTTATACTGTAAATTCCTATATAGATTTTGGTCTATTTCTGGGATAACCGTTTAGTTTCATTAATCTGTCTGCCTAGTGATGCAGCAGAATTGCATTGTTATAACTTTTGAGGCTTAGTTTTTTTTTTTTTTCTTTTTCATAGGGGTAAGTCTCCCCATTTTAAGTCCTATTTCACAGAATTCTAATATATGTGTGTGTGTGTGTGTGTGTGTGTGTGTGTGTGTGTGTGTTTAAAATATGAACTTTAAAAGAACTATACCTAGTTACCACCCTGTCCCCTCCATGAAGAAAACCTATTATTATTGGGATTTTGTTAAATATAAAGACTTCATTAGTGAAGGTTCACATCTTTATGATGT